ACATGTCAAGTCATCATAGCACTGGCGTGCACAGGGTAATTGCCCCTCCTTTTATAAATAAGGCTTTTATTTCCACATTTACAAAATTATTATATAAAATAACTTGATTCCTTGATAACTTGATTTGAAGGTAAAATAACTTCATTTCATAATATAAGGACACTGAAAACCTTTTACTGCGTCAATTCCTTTAAAATGGTGCCTGAAAATTGCTTCACAAAGGTGCATGAAGGGACAAGCTTCAATGACATTTTTTGGTCAAAAAATTGCACCACAGTGGTGCATACAAAACATTTATGGTGTAATTTTTTTTTTTCAATGTGGTTCATGAAGGGCTAAAAGAAGAGGGTAAATTTAAGATTGATAAAATTTACCTTCGTGGTGGTAAATCGAAGAAAAAGCTTTTTATTGAATATTTCTGGTGTAAATATATCATCAAGGGTGTGCATGGAGGGACTTATCAAAATGAATAACTCTGGTGGAAAAATTGAATCACGCTAAAAATTTGGAGGTGCAAATTTAACTGAAAATTTCTGGTGGAAAGTTCTCAACACGGTGGTGAATGTAGAAGCAAGGTTTATTCATTTTACTGGTGCATAATTTGCATCGTTCTGATGAATGCAAGCTTCATTGAAAATTTATGGTGGAAAATTTGCACCATTCTGGCAAAGCCTGAAAATTGCACCACAAAGGTGCATAGTGAAACAAACTTCACTGACAATTTTTGGTGCACCGTTCTGGTGAATGGAGGAGCATAATTTATTGAAAATTTCTGGTGCAAAATTTGCATCGCCGTGATAAATGAAATGAACAGAAGATTTATGGTGGAAAACTTGCACTGGTAAATGAAGGCACAAGCTTTATTAAAAATTTAGCTATATTGAAAATTTCTGGTGGAAAATCTGCACCGTTCTGGTGAACGGATGGGCAAGCTTTTCGGAAAAATTTTGGTCTTAAATTTGCATCCTTCTGCTGAATAGAGATACAAACTTTAATAATAATTTCTGGTGTAAAATTTGCACCATTCTAATGATTGGAGGGAAGCTGATTTACTGAACATTCTCAAAATATAAAAATAGGGGTAAGCTTTATTTGGTGGAAAACCTGCGAAATTCTGAGGATAGAAGAAGCAAGCTATATTGAAAAAGCAGTTTTATTGAATATCAACGGTGGAAAATTTGCATCGTTCTGGTCAGTTGAAATTTTATGGGGGCAAGTTTGTATTGAAAATTTCTGCTGTAAGATTTGCAACAATCTGCTGCATGGAGGGGCAAGCTGAATTGAAAATTCCTGATGTAAAAATTGCACAGTTCTGATGAATGAAGGGGCAAGCTTTATTGAACATTTCTGGTAGAAAAACTACAACGTTTTGGTGAATGGACGGACAACTTAAACTTGACTTCCGAGAAGAACTTCAAGGGTATTGAATTCTGAGGACAGTTCCAAAAGAAAAGATTTCTGGGGATGATTCCATGAAAATTCTGCGAATAATTTCTAGTGAATCCTGCAGATAGATCTAAGATAATTTCGAAAAGAATACCGAGAGAATCAAATTTTGAATGAAATTCCAAAGGGATGTTGGGGAAAATTTCAAGGAAATTCCGAGGATAATTTCAAGCTTATTTTGGGAAAAATTTCTTGAGAATACAGAGGAAATTCTTCTGAAACTTTAGGGGAATTTCAGTTCCAAGGTGTTCTGAGAAAAAAAAAGATCTAAAATATTCCGAAAAGAACCTCAAGGATATTGAATTCTTAGGACAGTTCCAAAATATTTTGTCCTTTATATTATCTCTAAAACATGTTGAATGTTTGGCATCATTTTCTGTCACCCCAACTGGCGGTACTTAGGGACAGGGTTGACATGCTCAATCCTTCGCACATGTCGTCATTTCGTTAACAATCCTGTACTCGCTTGTCAAAATAGTTTTGTGCGCTTTTGTTCAAATCGTTACATATTTTTTAGACCTTTCTAATGATGAGGTCAAAATTTGAAAAAATTAAAACGCCAGTTTCTGCTGAAAATGGCCAAGTTTAACGTACTCGCAACAGTAATAGTAAAGTATAACTACAACAGCATATAAGGGCTTAAAAAACCTTGACATAGTCAAAAATAAACTGTAACGATGCCTTCAAAATAAACAAAAACGTACTGCACAAAATTTCAGAAAGGTAGCTGAATAAAAGATGATACCAGTACCTTGAAGAATATATTTTCTTTGGTTTATATGTTTAACCTGTAAAGAAGAGCATGACGCAAAACATTATTACAACATTTTTCTATCAAAATATTAATTGAACTGTAACTTTAACTTCCAAGAAATCTTAGAAACTTTAAAAACTATTTTCAATGTTATTCTGGATTTTCAAAGCCAACTATACACAAAAACATTATGCTGCCGATCTTTCCGGGCGATCCAAGTTGTCCGATTCCTACAGAGTTCAGAAATTGGAAGAAAGCGACCGAGTTGCTGGAAAAACACAATGGCAGTGATACCCATGTTGGTAGTATGGAAGCGTGGAAGAATTTCAAAACCAGGAAGGGTATCGACGAAGAACTGGACCACCAAAAAACAGCTATGATTGCTGCTAGAGAGGCAAAGCGGCTACATAATCGCTTTATAACGGAACGTTTCGTCGATATTGTGCGCATACTTTGTAAAGGTGGCCAACCACTTCGTGGACATTCGGAAGGAGAGGAAAGTGTGTCACCCAGTTGGTAGCTAACTACGATCCTGTGCTGGAAATAAACTTGGCGGAAGGTGCCAAAAATAGCCAGTACACAAGTACCGTATTCAAAATGACATGATTACATCGTTGCACAATGTAATGACGAACAGATCTTCATCGATATCGTCGATGGGATTAAATTGCCAATTTCCATTGGCTGTCTGAAAGTACTTTGCATTGAAGAAGATGAACCACAACCGGAGAAAAAAATAAATAAAATTAGCTAGATTGAACAGTAGGGAAATAGTGGGAGGTGGACAGCACTATACACCACGCACTTTGCAGTACTCCCCATGCCCAGATTAAATGCACCATAGAAAAAAAATTGCCCCTCCTTAACAACATTTCTGTGCACGCTAGTGCATCATAGTAGTTAATTGATTCAACGTCACACTTTGTACACTTTGATTACATACGACCTGTCCAAAAGTGATTCCAGATCTCAAACCCCCAGGTACACGGTAAGAAAAAAGATCTCAAAGTGACTCATTTTCACAAATCTCGGCACTATATTGCAGGAAGCCAAAAGTAGGTAATGTGGGTCGAAGAGCTTGTGTTCAATTAGTATGGAATTGACAATTCGCTTCTACCCAAAAATAGTTAAGTTGTACCCAAAAGTAGATGAATATGATTATACTCAATGCCAAAAGAAGGCAAAAATGAGCTGGCCGCTGGATATTTTTTTCTTATCGTGTATGTTTTTGTTTTTGAATGAATCATCCTTTTGCCGCATTTTGCATATCAGCTGATGGCTTCGAGCAGTGCAACCAGAACGACACACATGTTTTCTATAGAAGATTTCTAGATTCATTTACTTTCATTTTTTGTCTTACAAAATAAGAAATTGTTTTAAACATTTATTAGTGATGGTTTCTTAATTGAACACAGTTTAAGCACCTTAAAAAGCAATAAAAGCATTGTTTTTACACACTTTGTTTCAATTGAATCGACAACACTGGATACAATGACAGATGATTCGTACACACACCTTCGTAATGCGGTGGGTAGAAAAATGGTAAACAAAACAGTTTCAGCTTGCAAAATTATTCGCTGCTTGTGTTTTTAACGATGCAAATAATATTATTTAAGTAAATATCGTCTTTAAAGGTGAATTAACTTGAAAGTGCTTGTAGAAGCACGTGTCGTAATTGTTTTTAGTGTGGTTCTGAGAAGTGAAAGCAAGTGAAAACAGTTATTGAAATTTCATGCCCTGAGCAGAACAAAATCGGCTGATAGCACTTTTTAATGCAAATATTACCAATGCGCGAATGAATTGGCAATATTTTGGTGGAAAATTATTAAAATATGTATCTTATTCATACGATTCAGGCCCATTTTTTTAAGGTATGTTATTAGTAATTTACTGTTTTGTAGGAAGATATCTTTCGTACGCATATCAAAACACGTTTATTTAATGATTGTAGGGACAACAATGGTTGCATGACGTGCCGTATCACCATAAGGGAGTCATTAAAAATTGCAATAAAAGCCTTTCACCGCTTGCTGTATAATGATTATTTGGGAGTCATGAAAGAGTGTAACAAACGACTTTCAGGTTTACTCTCTATTAAATTTCGAAGCAGCTATTCGGAAGTGTCTACAAACGTCATATAAGGACTTTCACCAAACCAATAAAGCTTGAGTGTAAATATGTATTTATAAAGGTTGTATTGCGCATTTCACACCAAATTGAACTAATAAGCGCCTTTTCACTTATTAAAAAGTGTGATAAAATTGCAAGTTTACATCTAATCGTCTTGGTGTCTTCGGTGCACTTATTTCTTATGATGCAAGCAATAAGTGTTCCCAAGACATCAAAACGATTTGACGAAAATGTGCACTTCTATCACACTTTTTGCATTTTTGGGACAGTCCAGTTTCAGATGTAATCAGCAATATAAATGATGTTTCTATTCCTATACCGTATACAGCTGTAATTGAACAGATTCTCCAAACCAGTGTAAACAAGGATTTTACAGAAGTTGTAATAAACAAATTTTACTGTTATTATTCAGCATGCAGCTGAACAAAATCAAAACGAAAGCGTTTCTCCAACTAAAAATTGTTACTTGGGGAGTCGAGATGGAAGTAAATGGAATCGGAAAAAATACCGTTGTACTCAGATATATTTTTCAAAATCAAAGAACCCAATTAGATCCCTATCAGAAGGTTTTCAGCTCCATGTTTGTTACATCGGGGCGAATTTTCCGACACGGGTGACATGTATCGTTTTCGAATGCCAAGTAACAACATATTTTCAACTGTGTACTTACATTTGCGTCTGTCCCTGTCCGGTGGCGGTGTACATATCGGAATCAACATACTGAACGTAGGTATGATGATTCTGGACGTTATCTGGAGATGACACTGCAAATAGAAAACAAACAAACAATTTGTCAATTATGCATTTCGAATATTATCATGAGTAATACGATTATTTACAATACATTCAACCTGAATGGATGTCAACAACTACGCGCGTCATCGCTTATTCTAAATGGCGAGTATCGAAAGTTGATTCCCAGAACAGCTAATAAGATTGAAATTTTTCCCAGAATTCAGCCATCTTGTTGTGATTTTTGTCATCCCCCTCATTCTCATGCCTAAGGGAGACAAGCAGCAGTCACAAGGGAAAGATGAGACAATATAAGCTCTCGAAATAAATATGGTTCCCCCTGCACACAAAGTTGCCATCTGTCATCTCTTCATTGTACAGCCGGAAATCATACAGAAGCTGTCAGGGCCATGGCCTACAGGATCCAATTCCCATCCGGAGTAGGGAAAATGGAGGATTCATTCGTTTTCCCTGAAGAGTATTTTTATGTCGACCCTCCACTGACATACTCGCATTCACAAATCGCCTTCTTTGGAATATGACGTTCTACCGAAAGGAATTTAGTTTCGAAATGAAAAGACATATACAACCACCGGTCTAGATTCTTGGTCATATCATTCAAAATAAGTATTTAGCATCTAAAAGAAGAATTTCTACACAAAACGCTCTGATTTCATCGGATTCCACCTTCTGTTTTCCCAACTTGAACAAATGAATATAATTTTAGACGAAATAAGCAGAAAGATGCAGAAGGCAAGTGGCAAAAAAGGATCTCCCTCCGTGCCACAATATGAAAACCCAAATCACAAAAGGATACGATATGTGTGAGTGCCATGTTTGACTTCACAAAAGTCAAATATGAATTTTTATTGTTTCCGCAGTTTCATTGTTTCCCCCTCGAGCTTCGCCTTTCCGCACGTCACAACATCTAGATGCGCGCGACGCAGACATAGTCATAGTAGGCATTGCGGGGAGGGAGAAATCAAAATGGTAGAATTCCCTCCCCGAAGGGAGTTAGAGCATGGCACAGTGGAGAGGAGATCAAAGAATGCCATGCTGCTCTCGGAAAACTAAGGATTCCTGAGAATTGTCTGTTCGTAGGGGTCGACGAGGACGAGACGCTGCTGGATGGTGCTTGTTGTGATGTATGCGTTTGATTCAACTTTTTTTTTTGTTTTCGGAACAAACGAATCTGGAATTCATGCCACAAGCAATTTTCTACGATTTCACTTTTTTTTTCTCGAACAGATGAATTTGCTCCGGGAAAAGAGGATATGAATCGCTTTGCACAGGAACCCATGTGTGCACGCGATAAGAGTTGATGCAGATTGATGATTTATGACTTTATAGCACCCCCTTCCCGTGGGATGCGAGAAGCAAAGCAGAATGAATGTGCACAGAGAGACATAAAAGCGGTTCTGGCAGCAGCCAAGGGTAAAAATTAGAGCGCGCTTGTCTTGCTCTGGAAACAACGGGGAAGCGATTTTTTCTCACTAAACTCAAGTGAGATAAAGCGGGTGCAGAGTTTCGAAACGGTCTAAAAAGTGGTGCAATAAAGTGGTCGGAATTTTGCTGCGATTTCTCGGATGGTTTTTTTTGTTAAAAAAAGAGTTTATGCTACGTGTCAGTTGTTAGAAAGAACTTCAAATATAGGTTTGGTTTTGGATGCAAAACAAAGGGTTTGTAGCAAGACCAATTTTCTGGGAAATATTTTGACCCATCGGTTAAAAAAAAGTGAGTGGACAAACATTGACCGTACCGTAACTAATAAAAGAGTGACCAATTGTATCCCGAAACGAGAAAAATATCGTCCTTGCAAGGGTGGTTGATCTTGTTGGGGATTATTTTTTTACAGTCAACTCTCCCTTATAAGGCAGCTGCGATCAGCTGATTTTTTTTTTGTTTATCGATAAGTTTTGACAGTTCACAGTAAAACTGACAGATCACTCCCATTGAAAATAGCTTTGTTAATATTTAAATCTTTCAAAGGCAACACCAGCGATTGTACACAGCAAAAACTTTGTAAATTTACATGTGCTACTGTGATGTATTTTCTGGCCTTAGTTGAAACATACAGTAATGACATGGAAGTCAAAAGTTCATTTAGTTCATGATAGTATAAATTTCAGCTTAAATTCATTGAATTTCAGATTGTTTAACGTGTAATTATATATTTAAAACTCTGCTCCAATTGATAGTTGAAAATTACATAATATTTTTATCTATGTACGTCATTTCCTGGACAACCGTTTCCCAGAATTTAAAATTTCCCGGAATACTTTATGTTTTGGTGTAAAAACTACACCTAACCGGGAAATGTAAGATTCTATAACAGATTTGCATAAAAAAGCATGCATACTTTGCAATGTTACACCGCATGACCAGACTCTGTGATGTTGTCATCGGAATATGTTGATGAATTTTGTGTTAGGACTATAGTCCATTACATGACGCTATACTCCGCATTACATTTGCTGTAAGAAAACATGCAGAGGATGTAAGAAATCCACCCTTACATCACATGTTCATGCTATTTTTTTTGCGTGCATGCAAATACAAGGCTGGTAGCGATCAATGCTGTCAACAATAGTGATTTCAGTGAACATGTTGAAGAAAAATGTGATCAAATAGTGACTTAATTTGTAAAAAAGTGACCTAAGGGAAGAAAATTAGTCGTTCTGATGGCATATAAATTAATTTTTTGATGTTTTAGGCTTATTCAATTAGATTCTCATAAACACTTAAATATGTACGATAGGAACCGAAAGATTGAATAGAAACTTACTAAACCTCCAAGCTTCTACTGCCTGGAAAAAACATGAAAAACCGGGAATTCGCAGATAATTTTATTTGTCCTGAAAATACCTGGAAGTACCAGGGAATCTTATCATTTCTCAGGAAATTTAATAATTTTCTTACTAAGAATGAATTTTAAAATAAAAAAATACATTTAATATTCCTAGTTATTTTCAATCACACATTTAACTTTATAGATCCAGAATGGATTAATCTTCAGTAGCAAATACATAAATTTATAAATTCTGAACTAAAAAGTTATAACACTTAAAAAAAAATCAAAAATCTGGTGTCAAATTCCTTGCACAGGCTCATGGAATTTTATTATAATTTCTAAGGACCTCATTCCACGGGAGTTCTGGAAAAAAAAAACTATGAGAAAAACATGAACTGCAATCTGCTTTCATGGTAGTTCTGAGGAATTATAGACTTCATGTAAAGCCTAAGCTTAAGCAGGGTGTCTACTCAATCCAAGGAATCAAATTCCCTGAGTTTTCCAGGTTTTTCCAGGTCGGATGAAAAAAAATTCCAGGTCATACAAATTATACACATTATTATTTTATCTGTTTATCCATCTGGAATCCCTTTTATGTACTTATTGATTTATGTTATTTTCGATTGTTCAAACTTGGTCGTTGGTACTTATAAGTCGGCACAGCAAAAAAGTTATTGAATATTACAGCAGAACAGATGCACATAGGTTGTTTAATATTAATTTGTACAATTTATGTTTAGTAAATGCACCAATAGTGGAGATACTTTAGTGCAATGTGTTCCTATGGTGGCTTATTGAGTCTCCCTAAGCCGCTATAGAAGTACATTGTACTAACGTAATGTACTTCTATAGCGGCTTAGGGAGACTCTATAAGCCCCCATAGGAACACATTGCACTTAAGTACCTCCACTATTGGTGCATTTATTCTACACATAATTTGCGAAAAGAAATTATATCCAAGGGTGTAATATTGTATTTGGTTTTTGCAATCACATTAGTTATTCATACAGTAGCATGCATTACGTCAATCAAAATTACATTCTTTTTTGGTATTTGTGTAGTATTTTTTTAATTCAAGAATATAAATATAAGTAAGAAACCTTTCTATACTATTTCAATATATCAAAATTTGATAACAATATGCTTTCAAAAACAACATATCATTTTGATAATATGTTTGAGTTCAACTCTGTTTGGAAGATCAACACAGAATAAATCATGGTTTCACATGTCTAAAATCTCTTAAGGTCCGTTTAGACTATCTGATTTCTTGGTCTGACTTTGACCGCCGCCATAATGAAAAATCTGTTCGAATTTACTTTCGACACACTTTGTCGAACCCCCCTGTTTGCTGGTGTTCACACTGCTTGCACATGTCGAAAGAACTGCCAATTTAGATTTCAAAACAAAACTGTATCAGGAATCAAAAGTAATTCACGTTCAGTATCATGAATTACCGGAAAATTGCTTTAGTTTCGACAGACGCATTTGCTTTTATTATTTTAAATAAAATGAGGAAGAGAAGGTGAACTTTGTGGAGTAGGAAATAGTTACTCAGGAACACCGGCAGGGATCTGGCTCATCTTGTCCATCAAGCGCTGCGATATGAAGATAAAAATGGATTTCAAAACTTCGCCAGGATGTCGATACCAACTTTAGACAAGCTAGTGGGAAAAGTTCTCACTAGATATACATGATTCCTTGAGTTCTGAAAATTTCTGTTAACAACTCAATTCTGCAAGGTCTTCAAACCTTCTGACGTCCCTGAAGTTTTGTTTCTGTTCTCCGGTAAAATTTCTTTAAAGATCAACAATCTTTCCTGACAATCTGTAAATTTCTCGCTAGTTCTACAGATTTATTTGAAGCTCTGTGTGTTCTTCAGAAGTTCTGCAAATTTTCCTAAAAATCTACAAAGTTCCTGAATCCCTGAAGATTTAAGATCCTTGAAGATCAACAATTATCTCTGATGTTCACAAAATTTCTAATAATCTACAAACTTCTCGAAAGTTCTGTAATTTTCTCTGCAGATTTTCAAGATTCAATGAATATCTGCAAATATCTCTGAACATCTATACAATTTTCTAAAGAATTCAAAGATTATCTAGAAATTTTTGAGCTTTCCGGAAGTTTTAGGAAGTATTCTGAAGTTATTCTAATTTTTCTGAAGCTGTGCAAATATCTCTAAAGATCAGCGAACTTACCTGAAGTTTTGTAAATGTCTTTGAAAATCCAAGAACCGCA